TCCTAAATTATCTGTTCTTAATAACACAATAATTAGCAAATTAAATGAGACACAAAGGTAAATTTCAAATTTCCAAAGGTTTAAAAGTCAAAAGAATGAGAACCATTTGGAGTATTTCCACTCGTGAAGGAGTTTTTGTTTGTTTACAGACGAATTGTAGTGAAAGCTGTTAATAAACTTTTTGCGATTTTTATGTTGAAGGAAACTATAAGAAGTTGTTGAAACCGTTTGTATAGAATCCGATATTATTGCGGTTGCATTAATATGCATATAAAAAGTATTGCATGAAGAATCACTGGAAAGAAAAAAGGAAAAAAAGAAATATGATTTCAATATCTAAAAATCAATTTAATTAAAAAATCATTTATTTCAAGTAATTATTGTAAAGAAATTAATTGAGTGAACTTTTTTATATAATTGAATTTGAAATGGATAATGTTTCTAATCGTACCAAATAATTAATTTCACAACGAGAGACTCCGAAAAAACCGGAACGATTCAAAAAAAAGCTGAACATTTTCGGTATTTTGAAAACAAAGAAAAAATTTTTGAAAAACTTTTAAACAACGATAAGTATCAGTTATCCGATTCCGGCAACGAGAATTTGTATGTCTACTTCACACATCATCGTAAACAACTTTTCACATTTGGAACTTACGTATNTTTTGAAAACAAAGAAAAAATTTTTGAAAAACTTTTAAACAACGATAAGTATCAGTTATCCGATTCCGGCAACGAGAATTTGTATGTCTACTTCACACATCATCGTAAACAACTTTTCACATTTGGAACTTACGTATCCATTTTTATTACTAACTATTATTATTATTAATTAACAACAATAATAATTATTATCGCTGTCATTATTGTTGCTGTTATCACTCTAATATCATTACTCTTATTATTCCCATCATACTTATCAGCAGAATCTTTCCTTCACTTTAAATCATCGCATAAAATGACCCGTTTAGCATTTGCATATACTATCAATAATCTTTTAATACTGCATTCGATGCGATTATTTCAATATGAATTCTAGAGATATTTCTTTGTTTTATAAATTCCGGAATGATTCATACCAGGAATTCTATTCTTTGATATAAATGAAAAATTTCTTGTCAAAATTTGTTTCATTTGATTTTATTTAAGCCTTAGAAGTTTTTCTCACATTTCTAACTATATTTTGGCTTTTTAGATGAATTTTTTATTTATGACTCTGTCAGTTACGATTCGCTCATAGTGACCTTCTAAAAGAGCAAATAGCTCCTTTGACTATTTTCCGATCCTTTACCATTCCTTTCATCGATGCTAAAGAATTGTGACCATTACATCTAAATGAAGTGCTAATATCGATTGTAAGGGAAAGAAAGTGCTAATTAAATAAATTGAAATGAAAAATAAATATGTGGAAATGAAGTTGAAGGGCTGAATGACCGAAAGACATCTTGAAGAGTACAATAATAGCAATACAAAATCAATCATATCGATTATCGAGCTAAAAAATTGAATAATTGTCAACCGATATTAACTGCAATTGGAAAGCTCAAGTTTCGTCTGAGCTTCAAAACCTTCAAGTAATTCAGAAATTTTCACCATGACGGCTTTCTGCAACTTCATTGTTTCTCATACTCTGCAATTCGAATCTTCTAGTCGACCGAATCTTTTTTCCGTTCGCAAATATGATAAAGAAAAAAAAATCACCGCGTAATTTAATGCGTTTAGCGTTCATAGATACCGCCAATAATGCTTAATGCTGCGTTTTGTTGCATTCCATACAACCATTCCACAAGGAATTCTTGAAATACTAAGCAAATTCCGGAAAGTTCGCATCATTCATCCAACTTTTTGATATAAATAGAATATCTCTCCTTGAAATTTGCTTCATCAAATTTCATTTAAATCTTAAAATCCTTCGCAACATTTTTGAGAATACTATGGATTTTTAGGAATTTTTTAAATTATGATCTATCAATTATAGCCTCTCCTAAGGAAATAAGGAATATAAATCTCTGATGTCGGTTATCATCCTATTAATTGTTCCTCAGGAATTTCTGAAAGTCGTCGCATTTCTGGCAAGGCAGTGGATCGTGAAGTAGAAGATTGTCACAATGGAAAACGAATTATTCCTGTCGCCTGAAAAGCAGTCTCTCTCTTTACGGTAGTGATGACATTTTGAAGCGTAAAAATAAGTTGATGAAATCAGTCTTGGTGAAACTAACGATGAAAATATGGTATGAATAGATTAAGTTGCCATTTTAAGAACAGAGTGTACGACGTATACAGAATCGATTCCATTCGAACATAATTACTGAACATTAGTTCATTGCTTTCAAAATTGAATCAAACTTTACTTGAAAATTGCTGGTAACAAGGGTAGCATAAGAATAAATAAACAATTGGAGCGAAAGAACTGAAAAGATCGGCTAAAGGTAACAGATTTTTAGGACATGACTTATTTTACTCGAAGGTTCAGACCCGTTTTTGCTTCCATCTCCTGGATTGATCCATCAACTTTGATCTACTATCAGTTAGCCTAATCTTCTCAGATACCGTCAGTAATCTTTTAATACCTTATTTCGATACAATAATTTTACAAAGAATTCTAGAAAGATTTCTTTGTTTGTAAATTCCGAATGATTCATACCAGGTATTTTAATTTCTGATATAAATGAAAAATTTCTCGTCAAAATGTGCTTCATTTAATTTCCTTTGAGGTTTTTCCTCACCCATATAAACAAAAAATTTTCTGTGAAATTCGCTTCATTAAATTTTAGTTTAAACCATGAATTCTACAATATCACAGTTTATTAGATAAAATTTTTATCAGATAAAATTATTTTTTGTAGCATATATTTCCAAAGTATTATAATTTTTTAAACGGGATATTAGATTCTAATCTATTAGCTGTGATTTGCTCATAAATAAGGAAAAGACCTCATTCTACAAAAAATTTTTTCGTGAAATCGTTTTCTAAAAAGACTTGAATATCTCGCCTGGCATTTTTTTCCTTCATTTTTTACTAATTTTGAAATGGTCAAGAATTTGACGGTTTGAAAAGTTTTTAGCTGTTGTGCATATATAATCAATTTCAGATTCTCAATACCAATGCATCTTTTCAGTATTTTCTAATTGGTTACTTGCGCTATTATCATAATCGAAGAATGTTTCCTAATACATTGTGAAAGATTAGCCTTACAAGTATGTGTGAATTTTATTTTTACATCTGTCTTCCTTTGAGTGCTTCAGAATTGCCAGGACCACGAGGTCCACCAGGGCGAAAAAGTTTGAAGGGAGATCCAGTTGGGCAAGGTGAACCTGGAGCTCATTAGATCCTTTCAATTTGTATTTCCACCGTGATCTAATCTTCCAACAAGGCCAGGTTGCTTTTCAGTTGTTAAGACTCTTAAATAGCAAAAATTTTTTTCGCACATGTTAAAGTCTTTCAAGAGACTTTAAAAACTCAAGAAAAATAAATCAATTAGCAAATAATGAGCACTAGTCAGGTTCTAAATAGTTTCTGTTTCTGAAGGTTCAAGACTCGTTTTTTCATTGATCCTCCCGGCTTCCCTAACAACTATTAATGTTCTATCAATCAATTATATTTTCCATTCGCTTTAAATCACACAAAAAAGGTTCGTTTAACTTTCATAGATACCGCCAGTAATCGTATTTTGTTATATTCTGTATAACTACTCCACAATGAATTCTTGATTTCTTTGTTTTGTGAATTCCGAAAAGATTCATATCGGGCATCAAACTTTTTAATATAAATATAATATTTCTCTTTGAAATTCGCTTCATC